CATCTCCTGCTTTAGCCTTCTGGACACAATTTCTGCAATTCCCTGCTACTTGCAAGAAATTCTTCTTTCGTGGCCTGGCCCTGCTTCCACTTCCTGTACAAGTTCGTTCGTTCTTTCTGGATGTCACAGAATCCTTTGTGGAGCCACAAGGGCTTCCTCTGCTGTTTTCTACACTCTTTTCTTGATGGAACTGTTTGCAGTTGTGCTTGGAGAATCCACTTTTTCAAGATTTTCCACCCCTCTTGGACACCTTTCCCCTTAAGGTCACTTGCCCGCACTTGTGCTTCTGTCCACCAGGCCATCCCCGTTAGTTACTACTAAATGGAGGGTAGCTGGTCCTCTCGCAGCTTCCCCTGCTTTCTCCTGGAGGAGGTTGTTGGCAACACGTGTCAGGAATCTCTTGTGGGGCCAAGCTTGGCAGAATTCATCTCCTAGCTTATGTCAGGGAAACTGAAGTCCTCCAGGAAGACATGGTTGGAAGCACTGACAAAATGCTTTTCAAGGGTTGCATCCTGTCCCCTTTTTGACTGGTGGACCCATTATACATGAGAATAACTATCCTTTTTTTCTTATTTTGTGTTCCCTTTAAATTTCGCCAGATGCTCTCAGTGGGGCTTGTAAGTTCCTCTTCTTGAACTTCTGTGCAGGTATGTGTGCCTCTCACACAGAGTGCAATTCCCCCTCCCTTTCTGTCCTTCCTATTTTTCTTGAACAGGCTGTATCCATCCATTGCAGAGCTCCAGCCGTGTGAGTCATCGCACCAAAGGTCCATTATTTCTCATAACTGCCGTCATGTACTACTCTCTGACATTAGCAAGAAGAGATCTTGACCTTCCTCTTTGAGGTGGCCACTGAGCAACTTAGAGAGGGATACCATGTCCCCCTCAGCCTTCTCTTCTCAAGGCTGAACATGCCCAGTTCCCTCTGTCTCTCCTCACAGGGCAGCGTTTCCAAGCCCTGCATAGTTTTTGTTGCCCAACTGAACCTGAACCAGCCTGAACCTGGGTTGCCGCAACCTGAGTTGATTATTCTGCATCCTGCACTCTGGCATCAGCAAGAAGAGATCTTGACCTCCCTCTTTGTGACAGCCTTTGAGGGACTTAGGGAGAGGAAGCTTGTCTTCCCTCAGTCTGCTCTTCTCAAGGCTGAACCTGCTCAGTTCCCTCACTCTCTCCTCACAGGGTAGTGTTTCCAATTCCTGGATCATTTTTGTTGCCCTGCTCGGGACCCTTTCTAATTTACGTGATCTTTCTTAAGTCTTGGTGTCCAGAACTGGACACAGTATTCCAGATAAAGAAAAACAAAGTTATTGGTATATAATACTACACTACACTACACTACACAGTGGTACCTTGGCTCACGAATTTAATCCGTTCCAGGACTCTGGTCGCAACCCAAATTGGTCATGAGCCAAGTTGAATTTCTCCATAAGGTTCAACGTAAATAAGGTTAATCATTCTGTAACTATTTTTTTTTTACTCACAAAAATTTGAAGCAAAGTGACAAAGAACAACAAAGAAGGAGGCCATCTCCCCTGCCACCCCAGCGATTGTGCTGGGGGAGTGGGGAGACAGGCACGATCGCAGGCGCGCTGGAAGGGGGAGGCAGGCACAACCAGGGCTGTGCTTGGGGAGGCGGGAGACGGGCAGGATCGCGGGTGTGCTGGCGGGGAGACGGGCACAACTCCAGCCATGCTTGGCCCCCCCCCCCAGCATGACCGTGATCGCACCTGTGCAGGGAAGGCAGGTGTGCTCATGACTGTCACCCGATGCGGAGTTCGGAACCTGCAGCAAATGTTTATGAAATTTCTGTTCGTGACCCAATTTGGTCATGAACTGAGGCCAAGGTACCACTGTATTATGTTATATATATTATTTTGTGGCCAGGCCATCTAAGAATATAAGTAAATAGCAGGGAATAACAGGAATTGCATCCGGAAGACTAAAGCAGGAAATGAATGAGAAGAGCAAAGGAGGCTAAGCACAATGAGAAGGACTTCTCAAGATACATCCAGAACAAAGAACATAGAAACAGAGTGAGTCAGAAAGGGGATCTCGGGACATCTAGTCTGACCCCCGGGGTCCAGCTGGCTCTGCTCAGGACATGCCCACCATGTGCATGTCCAGCCTGTCCTTAAACACCCTCACCGATGGGGCATCAACCCCCTCCCGTGGAAGCCCATTCCACACCCTCAGGGTCCTGACTGTCAGGAAGGACTTCCTGGCATCCAAATGGAACCTGAGTTCCCTGAGCTTTGCTCCGTTGGAGCGCATCCTGCCTTTCCCTGCAGGGGAGAACAGGTCTCTACCCACCTCCGTGTGACTCCCCCTCACACACCTGCATGTCGCCAACAGATCCCCTCTGAGTCTCCTCTTCTCTAGTCTGAAAAGACCCAATTCCCTCAGTCTCGCCTCATACAGCTTCCCCTGCAAACCGGCCACCAACCTTGTGGCCCTTTGTTGCACTGACTCTAACCTGGCTATATCCTCCTGTAACGAGGGACCCAGAACTGAGCACAATACTCCACTTGCGGGCGCACCTGAGTCATATAGAGTGGTAGTAATACCTCTCTTGATCTAGAAGCCACACTTCTGGCTATGCAACCAAGGGTGGCGTTCGCCCTCTTGACCACCGCATCACACGGCTGGCTCATGTTCAGCCTGCAGTCAACCAGCACCCCGAGGTCCCTTTCGCAAGTGCTGCTCTCCAGCCACTTGTCCCCCAACCTGTACTTATAACAACTATTCCCATGTCCCAAGTGCAAGACCTTGCACTTATCCACATTGAACGCCATCCTGTTGTCTCCTGCCCACTTCCATAGTCTGTCCAGATCCTTTGGATCTGAAGTACCTGCTCCTCAGTTGTGGCCACTGCCCCAGTTTTAGTATTGTCTGTGAATTTGATCAGCAGACTGTTCACCCCTTCTTCCATGTCATTGATGTAAAGATTTAACAGGACAGAGCCCTGGGGGACCCCGCTTGTCACTGGCCACCATCCCGATGATTCCCCACTAATGGTTACCCTCTGCTTTCGGTCAGTCAACCCTGCCGTAATCCACCGGACAGTGCTTTGTGTATCCCAAAACTCCTCAGTTTCTGCACCAGGATATCATGGGACACTTGGCCAAAGGCCTTGCTGAAATCCAGGTAAACCACATCCACTGCACCCCCTCCATCCAGCCACCTCGAAACCTTGTTGTAGAATTCCAAAAGAAAGAGAAGGGCATCCAGCTACTTAAACTGGGTGGCAGAGCGGTAACAGAGAACAAAGAGAAGGCAGAAGTGCTCAGTTCCTACTTTGCTTCTGTCTTCTCCCACAAGGAAATCTGCCATCAAGAGGAAGTGTGAGCTGGAAGTGAGAGATGGCACCCCAAGATTGACAGACAAATGCTCAAGGAATTCCTAGGTGGAAGAAATACTGTCAGAGCTCCAGGGCCCGATCACCTCCAGGCCAGAGTCACACAAGAGCTAGCGGAGGAACTCTCAGAACCACTGACAATTATCTTTGATCAATCCTGGAAAACAGGAGAAGCGCCAGATGACTGGAGAAGGGCTCATGTTGCCCCTGTCTTCAAAAAGGGTAAAAAAGACGAACCTGTGAATTACAGACCAATTAGTCTAACGTCAATGCATGGAAAAGTCCTCGAGTAAATTATTAAAAATTTTATCTGCAAGCACCATGAAGGAAATGCAGTGATTAATTAAAGCCAGCATGGGTTATCAAAAAGTAATCCTCTCAGACTAAATCAATCTCATTTTTCGACTGGGTATTCTTCCAAATGGACAAAGAGGCCATTGTGGGTAGAATCTGCCTAGACTTTAGCAAAGCTTTTGACATAGCACCACACAACATCCTGCTAAGCAAATTAGCAGAAACTGGACTAGATGGAAACACCAGGAGATGGATCGAGCATTGGCTGCTCAATTGGACACAAAGCTTGCTCCTCAATGGCACCTCCTGAAATTGGATGGAGGCAACAGGAGGGGTGCCACGGGGTTCAGTCCTGGGCCCAGTGCTCTTCAACATCTGCATTAATGGGTTAGATGCGGAAGTACAAGGAAGGATAATCAAATTCACAGATGATACAAATCTGGATGTAATAGCAAACACCCTAGAAGACAGAATCAAGACCCAGGGGGATCTTGATAAACTTGAACAATGCGCTGCAATCTACAGAATGAGATTCAGTGAGGACAAGTGCCAAGTCCTCCACCGAGGAAAAAGAAACCAAAGGCATCAATACATGATGGGGAACACGAGGCTCAACAGAACTGAAAAAGAAAAAGACCTCGGAGTAATTGCGGACAACAGGCTAAACATGAGCCAACAATGCGATGCAGCCGCCAAAGGGGCAAATGCTATTTCGGGATGCATTAACGGAAGTATTACTTCCAAATCACGGGAAGTAGTAGCTCCTCTATGCTCCTCATTCGTCAGACCTCACCTGGAATATTGTGTCCAGTTCTGGGCACCAAGATTTAAGGAAGATGCAGGTAAATGAGAACAGGGTCAGAGAGGGCAACAAAAATGATCCAGGGTTTGGAAACGCTGCCCTGTGAGGAGAGGCTGAGGGAACTGGGCATGTTCAGCCTTGAGAAGAGAAGACTGAGGGGGGACATGGTATCCCTCTAGATACCCCTCAAAGGTTATCATAAAGAGGAAGGCCGGGTATCTTCTCACTGATAAATGTCCAGTTGCAGCAACCCAGATTCAGGCTGAACATCAGGAAAAGCTTCCTCGCTGTCAGAGCAATACGGCTGTGGAAGCAGCTGCCTGGAGAGGTGGGGGGCTCTCCCACACTGGGGACATTCACAAAGAAACTGGAAAGTCATCCGAGTGGGAGGGTTTAATTTGGTGTCCTGCAGCAACAGGGGGTTGGACTGGATGGTCTTCCTGGCCCCTTCCAACTCCTGTATTCTATGATTCTATGACCAGGTATGTGCTTCCCCACAGTGCAAACCAAGTAAAACCGTTACAAGAAATAAGTGCTGTAATCTCACCTGTTTGTGCATTTCGATATTCAACCCGTAGGACATCTCATAATACTGGAAGTGGGGCAGGCAGGCCAACGGGGTGGAGTTGGATTGGGATTGGGAGAAAGAAAAACAAAACCATGTAAGTTGGCTTGCGGCAAGGGCCCAAAGTTTCTCTAGCCATTGTTGCATTCCTGGGGCACCCCTTGCACCCCTACAAAGAGGGCGGCCCCCAAATCCTTTGCACCTGCAGAAGAAGGAAGCGAAGTGATCAAAATGCCATGCACAGTCAGCGGATTTTTTCTGATATTTTATTTAGTGGTTTTATTTTAACATCGGATGCTGTTCATCTGCTACTTATTTTTATTTTACTGTATTAATTTGTAGTAAACTGTCCCGAGATGTCGGTGATAGGATGGTATAGAGAAGTTTTAAATAAATATATTTTCAGAGGGTTGCCTGTCTCGGATTGCCTTTCTCTTAGTGCTGTGCCCCCCCCCCCCAAAAAATCCCCACTGCATGCAGCCACCAGGCTTTGGGGAAACAAGTTTCCATGGGACAAAATGCAGCACTAGGGAACCCCCAGGGGTCTCTCAGTGTGTGTGTGGGGGGGGGCGGGGGGTTCTAGCCAGGCCGGTGTTGGCCAATTATCTTACGACCAGCTGAAAAGGAAACGGGCATAAGCCACAAAGAAGCGAAATTATCCAGGTGACACAAATCCAAAGGACAGCAGGAGCTGCATTAGTTCTGCTTCAACCACAGGTTGTGACACACACGGTGGAGAGTTAGACAGGACACAAACCGCCAAAATATAAACAGCCAGTTGTTAAAATCTTCTACTAGGGCAGTGGTGGTGAACCTACGGCGTGTGTGTGTGTTACTTGGACTGGCTGTGAGTTGTTTTTTCTAAACTAAAACATCCGTATTCGGGTTTTATTGCGGTGTTGGCACTTAGCGAGAAATAAGTGCTTTTGGGTTGCAGTTTGGGCACTCGGTCTCTGAAAGGTTCGCCATCACTGGTCTAGGTACCGCCCCCAAAGGCTTTGGGATATGCACTCCACTTCAGGGGCAAAGGAAGCTGCCCTTTGTGTTACACAGCTAACAGAAATTCAGTTTTTTGGAAGCACTGGAATGTGCCTTTCAAGGAGTCAGAACCTCCGTGCACCAGTACCGTTGAAAACGATGGGCCATGATCTCCAAATTTTCCAGTAGGGCTCTTTCCTGGGAGCCAGGACTGTCTGCATGCAAACCAGTGCTTTGCCCCCGAGCTATGGCCAACACTTATGCATGTGGCTAGTCCTCAGGATTCTCACTGACGGGCGATAAAAATGGGGACATAGAAAGCTACCTTGGATCAAGTCGGACCAGTTTAGAGGACCTAGCACAGCAGTGTATGTGATATTTTAATTTTTAATATGTTGTAAACTGTCCTGAGATCCATTGACTAAATAGGAATGCTATGAACATGTCTTAAATAAATAATAAAATAATCAATACCAACTGAAAACTGGATCTTCAGGGGTTTAGACAGCGGTCCTTCCCAGCCCTACTTGGGAGATGTATCTGTTGAGAGCTTTCAGCTAATTGAATGGTTTATAACAGCTTTTTATAAACAAACAAACAAACAAACAACTGAAGCCAGAAACATCTGTATACAAACACAGGTTCTGATACCAAGCCACTCCTCCCTTGAGCCAAGGGATTCCTAATTCTTCACCCAAAAATAATGCAGGATTCCCTGCCATGCTGGGAAACCTCCTCGCCCACACGGACTTTTGGGCATTTACCTGAGTCACTCTGCAGGGTTCTTTTTGCCAAATCAGCACCATTCTTAAAAAGACAAAAAGAGATCCCATTGTCTCTTCTCTGCAATTTATTTGCCTTGCTCATTTTGGGCAGCGTGTGTGTGTGTGTGGAGAGACAAAAGCTCTGACCCTCTCCCCATCCAACCACCAGATATCTTATTCAGCTGCTTTTTCTTGCTGAGCTCATGGGCACTGAGGTCATAGGGGCTAGGAAGTTCCCCCTTTTTAAAATGAAAACAGAAATTCTTGTGCAGCTCCATTCTGTACCCCCCGACCCACGCACCTGCATTCCGTGGCTTTTCTGCACTGGTGATGGAACTGAGGTGCATTTTATACAAAGCAAGTCACAGGAGGGAATGAAAAGGGGGATGCTTGTCCTACTAGGATTATTATAGTTTTAAGCCAACTGTTTCCTGGGAGATACAAAACACTCATTCCCCTTTGCTCTTATCTCCACACTCCAGGGAAGGTACGGCTGCTCCTCTCCCTGGCTCTAGCAATCCTTTCTGTCAGAGCTAATGATTTCTTGGTGGAGGAAAATAAAAATCCATCAAGCGACTGTCGCAAATACAGTCGGCGACCTTACCCCACCTATGCCAAGGAGAACACTGAGTCTACCCAAACGGTGGCCACTTTGAGCTTTTAGATTAAAAACACACAAAGAAAGCAAACGGTTGCCAATTCCATACCACCAAGAGCAGAATTCTGCTTTCTGAATAAATTATGCAAATTATTAATACATTCAGGATACCAAAACCTTTGTGTAACTGCTCTTCTTCTGGAATCAAAGGAAGGGAAAAAAGCTCATGAACTTCTGAGGGGCATTTTGGCTAAACCTTAATCTGGCATTTGAGGTTTCTCAAGCCATAGCCCTATTTGCTTTCCTTAAATTTCTAGTCCTTAAGCAAGTGAAAAGCAACCAACAAATCAAGCCAGTCTTCATCCGGCCCCACTCACTCCAAAACATCTTAGTTCATTTTTCCCGGCACTCTGAAGCATCCCCAAGATGTCAGTGATGGGCTGGTATACAAAAGTTTTAAAATACATCAAAAAATACTTGGTTCAAGTCAGAATCCCTTCATCCTTTGAACAACATCCTTTGAATTATTTGAAAAATAATTAGGGACAGACATTTCATCATTTAGCCAATTTAATGAGTTTAGTTTTCCTAAAACAAACTGTTCTCCATGGTTCCCATCAACAGGTCCTTCAAGTAATTGACCACGGAAATATGACTAACCAAAAGCTTTCTCTTCTAGCATGTAAAAGCATGCATTCATTAAGAAGTCATAAAGAATAATTGCTATATTCATTTTTATTTACCTTCTTTACCCAGGTAGGCTAATGGTTTAGCTATAGCTGCAACCTACTTCTTTTGTTTATTCTCACAAGGGGTATTAGCTTCTTGCTTTAGGACCGGAAAATTATATACATGGCTGCTTTGCAAAACAAACCAAATGACATTTAATGATATGCATGTCATGGTTTCCTAACATAAACATTTCAAAGTCTCTCTTTCCGGAGAGCTAAACTTACCATCACGTAATGACGCTGCATTTCTGATTTCTCACTTGCCAGCTTATCACATTCCAATTTGAGGCTGCAGTGAGGGTCCCCCAAAAAACATTGAGGAAGGAAAGGGAGAAAGACGTCATTGCAAATTTGTTAAAGAAATCACTGATCTTTGGTGCCACCATATCTCTCAACCTAGCCTATCTTGTGGTGCTGTTGTAAAAATTAGATGTAATCAAGGTCAGAGAAGAACTATGCATTTTAGTCTGAGCTCTTTGGATGAAGGATAGGACAAAATTAACAACAACAACAGGATTTCACTTGGTATTTCAGCAAATAATTTTAAGTCAAGAAAAACTTCATGTACTTGCATATGAGTGAACAATTAATCTGATACATTTAAATGTCCTAAATAGAAAGCTAAATAAATCCAGCAACCAACAAATAAACAATTCCAACAGAGTGACTCCTGAGTGTCCATCAGTCAGAAAAGGGCCAAACGAGGGTGTTTCAGGAGGGTATTCCCCATCACTGAAAAGGCCCTGTCACAGAACCAAAGTAGTGGCTAATCTTTCACCCAACCAAACAGGGAAAGGCCCGAACTGAGTGATGGCTGCTTGTAAAATCCTGGCATTGAGTCTAAACAAACACATATAAATCATTCTTGAAAATGAAATGGAAATGACTGCAAAGACGCAGTTGACATTGACCCTGATTCAGTAAAAGAGAAAATAGCAAGCTGTCGTATTTGACAGAAATTTTTTAATAGTACAGTTCCAGTGGTACCTGCAGTCGCCATCTCATGCAGTATTCGATTCATCCCCAAGCTCCTTGCACTATAGATCAAAATTAGGTCTCCAAATTCTGGCTGAGCTAGGAAGCCAAAAAAAGGATTTGTTTCCCCAGAACGGGCTCCTTCCCCAAAGTACCCGTGTCTTCACCGAGTACCTTTGGTCTTAGTTCTCCTTCTCCCCTCCAAAGTGGCAGAATTGTCCCTGTAAAGTCTACATACTACCTTCATTACATTTAATATCCATAAATCTCCAAATGAGATTTTTATTTGGGGGGGGGCAATCCCCAATATGGGGCCATGAGTGAGAAGGCCATTACTAGCAGCGGCTAATCTTGTGACACACCAAAAAGGGATGGTCGCCTAACTGAGAAACCCACCTAAACTGTAAGTGGGGTACAAAGGTATACTGTCTCTAATACGGGAGGCAGCATAGAATCACGAGGACTAGTAACCATAGATAGGTTTAATCCTCCATGGGTTGTTCTAATCTGATCTAATCCCTGTTTAAAACTGTCCAAATGGAGCACAGGCCCTCATTATATCTCATGGGAGTGAATTTCATAATTTGTGCACTGCGTGAAGGGCCCCGTCTTTCATCCGTTCATTTCAGTGCAAGGGTGATAAGAGCACTTCTAATCTTCATTTTAAGAATTGTGTGTGAAACACACTCACCCCAATCAGCACAGTGGGATTTCCTCTCCAGTAAAAGGCCCACAGAGTTACCTTATACAAGTTCAAATTTCTTTGGCATTTTCAACACAGCTTGGGGCATCTTGTTTGATTATATTTATTCCAGTCTCCCAGAGGTGGGGAACCCACATCTACAGGTAGACTGCTTCTAAAGCTAGAGGTTCAACATAGCCAGAATTATTAAAGCCATCAATACTTTTATCCCCCAGGAATCTACTAAAGTCCAGGTCATCACCAAGCCATCTGCAGGTGCTCAGAGACTTGGGCAAGACAACCAAACCAGGTGCCCTCCCTCATGAAGCTGCACATTGGGAATGCTGGGCATTGCAATGCACAAATCCAGAGGCAAGCAGGGAGCCAAAGGGTGGTTAGAGACAGAAACATAGCGAGTCAGAAGGGGTCTTCTGGGCCATCTAGTCTGACCCCCGGCTCCAGCTGGCTCCACTCACGACATGCCCACCATGTGCATGCCCAGCCTATCTTTGAACACCCGCACCGAGGGGGCCTCATCCACCTCCCATGGAAGCCCATTCCATGCCCTCGGGGTCCTGTCAGGAAGTGCTTCCTGGCATCCAAATGGAACCTGGTTCCCTGAGCTTGGCTCCGTTGGAGTGCATCCTGCCTTCCTCTGCAGGGAGAACAGGTCTCCACCCACCTCCGTGTGACACCCCCTCACACACCTGTATGTCGCCAACAGGTCCCCCCTGAGTCTCCCCTTCTCCAGGCTGAAGAGACCCAGTTCCCTCAATCTCGCCTCATACGGCTTCCCCTGCAAACCGGCCACCAGCCTTGTGGCCCTTCGCTGCACTGACTCTAACCTGGCTATATCCTTCCTGTAATGAGGGGCCAAAACTGAGCACAATGCTCCAGTTGCGGGTGCACCAGAGTCATATAGAGTGGCAGAGACACCTCTCTCGATCTAGAAGCCACGCTTCTGGCTATGCAACCAAGGGTGGCGTCCGCCCCCTTGACCACCGCATCACACGGCTGGCTCATGTTCAGCCTGCAGCCAACCAGCACCCCGAGGTCCCTTTCACAAGTGCTGCTCTCCAGCCACTTGTCCCCCAACCTGCACTTATGACCCCGGCTGGGGTGGATCAGCATTTTGTTCCCATTTGACCCTTCAGATTTTTCTGCCCCCAAATCACAGCATAATAATTTCACACACAGTCGCTCTCATTCCGGGAGCACGTACTACATCCGTCGGCACCACCACTGAGGGTCCTTCCTTCGCCCCTCACCACCACACCACTGTTCTTTTCCGAGCTTTGCCCTTCCTACCCCAGCCGCCCACAGCCTGGCACACTCCAGAAGCCTGGGACATGCATTCGCACGATCCCTGAGCACCACCTACGCTCACTAGGGTGGCAAGAGTCACACCTCTGTGGGTCAAAAACGCTCTGGCCATTCGTATTTCTGGGCCCCAGGGAGAGACGACAAGGAGTCCAGGAGAACTTGCCTGTGGTACTGTGCCTGCAGCAACTGGAACTCATCTTTAATGCGGTCGCAGGAATCCGAAGTGGTGAACTTCAACTGCTGGGGCAGGTGTGAAGAACCCTGCAACACCAGGAAGAGGAAAAACAAGTTCTGACCACAGCTGGACGGCAACATCAGGACTAGACTGACTTTGTTTGGTTTGGAATGCTTGTATGCCAGACGTTGACCAGATTCTATGGGTTATATAGCACTAGGCTGCCTTTCAAAGATGCTAGTCCTCAAGGTGGCTTACCAAATGTGTTGCTGAAGAATGGCAACAACCCCGGAATCTGCCTATATTCTATTTCAGAATCACAGAACCAGAAGGGGTCCCCTATTTAGGTCATCAAGTTCAACAAGTTGCTCAGGGCAGAGATCTAGTTTAAAATATCCCTGATTATATAATATTGCTAGGCTGCCTTTCAAGGATGCTAGTCCTCAGGGTGGCCTGTGAAACCCAACGGAATTTAAACCAACTGAAAAAGCAAAGGGGGGAAAAAACACCGGGGATGGAAACATTAAAATGGACCCCAAAGGGACAATGAAAACAGAGTATTTGGAGAGTGGTAGCCAAGAAGAAGCTGGGAAATTTGAGATGGCAACAAAATGATGAGGTAGAAACCTGCCCTGCCTGCCAGGCATTTGCAGGAAGTTGGGGTGCTGTACATCAGGTTGCACAGTGAGGGCAGATGCATGTTTCTGAACACTGCCCTAGGTCATTTCTTCAAAAGACCTCTTTTTCACCGAGACCTCTTTTTCACCACAGCAAAGGGCAAATCTGTTTCCCTTTGCCCTAGCTTTTTACCTGCAGGAACTGTGTTCCGCAGGTAGAACAACAAGTCCAAAGAGGCTTCCCCTCTGTGTGGATTTGCAAAGCACGCCTCATTGAAACACCTCACAGACACCTGTGTGCACAAGCACCAGGCAGGAGGGGACAGAAGTTGGACTGGGACCCACTGCAAAATCACCGGGCAATTTGCAATCGATCAGCCAGAATGGCTGGCTCCTCTTGGTTTAACAGCAGCAACAGTGGAAGCTCTCCCAAAATTAGGCTGCTAAAATCAAGCGAGTCTGTGCAGACAACAGAAGTGTGCATGCCAAATGACTCTGGCATGAGCTCCTGCACAGAAAGTGAATCCTGGAGCTCAAAGAAACATCATTCTGCAATTTGGTTTCTTGCACCTGGCCCTGCTTGGTGGGACCTCAGGGATTCTGGAGAAAAACCCTAAATTCTGACCACTCTCGGGTTACCCTGCCGGAAGCAGATCTCAGAGGGTTGTGCGCACAGCTTTCTCCCCAGCGCCCGTTGCTCAGAATCATTTTTCAGGGAGAGGCTGGGAACTGAGCCTGGGTCCTTCTTTATGCAAAGTGGGTGCTCTACCATGAGCCTAGGGTACTTTCCCTAAAGATAAAGCAAAATTCCAGTCCTCATGGCTGATGTAATCAGGAACACAGACAACCTAGCACTTAATCTGGCTAGGGATGATGGGAGTTCTGGCCCTACACAACTAAAGGGCGCTACGTTGGAGAAGCCCAGTCCCTCCTGCTAGAGTCTCACAGAAAAAATGTTTTTCTCACCAGTGTCTTCCTGATCTTTGGAAACCTGTGGGTGGACCTTCCTTGCTGAAGGTTCGTAGCCAGGTGCTTTGAGGCCCTTCACAGGCCCGCAACATGAGCCACTTTCAAAGGGACATTCGAGGTGGAGCTTCCTCACCTTGCAACCCAAAAGCAGGTAAACAACTTCTTTACAGAATGGAAAAAGTGGGCGGGTTTTGTGCTGCTTCCAGCCAAAAGCCCTGGGAGGCTCGGAGCCTGTTTCATCCCAAGTTCTGCCCTGGAAATACAGCACGGGGAGAGCAAAAGGGTTGGAACCTGGCTTTCCTTCTCAGTACAATGTGCCCTAATTTATGTATTTAGCAGAAATTAGCACATCCTTGTGCCAGGACTGAGGTGAGAAAGAGGCACAGCTGAGAACCACTGGTAGGTGATATTAAATAATATTGGGTAATTTTTTAAATATTGGGATTGGGTTAGATCATCCAGGAAGTGCTGGCAGAGAGAGAAAATGAAGGGCAAAGAACCGAACCCTGAGGAACCTCCAAAGGAAGAGTGTGCAGAAGCAACACCCGTATCGGTCTGGGGGAAATGTCCAACAGGACCCCTTGCTGAGGGGACCGGGCCATGGCTCCGTGGTGGACAGTCCTTGATTCTCACAGAGCCCTCATGGAGGAAGCCTAAATCCTTGGAGCGCAGCTGCCAATCCCAAAGCTGGAGGAACAAACGTCAAGTTCAGAAAACATGAGGATCTGCACTGATGGGTTGAAAGGTTATTGTCTGAAGCCAGCTGAAATACTAAGCCGTGGTGAACAACCACAGTTCACAACCGACAACACCCCATGGCTTGTTTTCATGGTTAGCAAACCATGGCTTGTTAGCACAACTGGATTCCAGCCTGCATTTCACCCGTGGTTCAGTGACACCCCACAACTCACACTCAGCCCCTGGGTGTGGATGATTGCAGTCTGACCCAGTCACAGTCTGACCTGATAGCATCCCCATTTAGAAGCAGTCCTTAATTTAGAACCATGAGGACTGGAATCTTAAATCATTTAGCAGGGGAAGGAGCATAGTGCAGCACAGGTTAAAACCCCTCTGGGCAACCTGCCCACCTAAAGTCAGGGCTTGCCAGGTGGAAACGGACAAGCAGTGTGAGCAGCCAGTTTCCGATCACAGATGGGCTTCGACATGCATACCAAAAATCTGAATGCAGAGCGGAGCTTCAGGAAGAGGCAGGGCAGGGAGGCAGGCCTGTGCCTGAGCTGTACCATCTCCAGGTCCACTGGGACTCTCCTGCCCCTTGTCGCCCCAAATTCCCCCACACCCCCAGGGGTGCTGCAGGCAAGATCCAGCAAGAGCCTCTCCCAGTCCTTTCTCTCTGGGAATGGCACAAGGCAACTGCTCCGCCTTTCTCTCCACCATTGGGTGGCCAAGGACTGCAGGTGTTGTGGAGACGGGACCTGGTTTGGGCGGATGCAGGACCCTGCAAAGACCTGTGGCCGAGAACTTGAGAAAGATGATGCCACTATGCGTAGGCGAGAAGGAGCTAGTGGAAGGCTCAAGGCAGCATCCCGCCTTCCTGCAAGGATGTGCTTCTCCTGGGGAAGCCACCTGGATCCTATGCCACAGATGAGATGCATTTATGGCAATATAAACTGGTATACTGGAGTGGCTCCAATTATATTTAAAACCTCCCCTGGACGGAATCGTGTGAGGACTCCCTTGTGGGTTTTCCTGAAGGGAGTCGCTTAGATCCAGCAGAGCCATTTTTAGGATTACTTTTCTTTTCTCTGGATACTCCCCCCCACTTTTTTTGGAAAACCATCTTGTAAAGACTTTCTAGTTTTCTACCTGAAGGGAGTTTGGATTTTATTTTCAGGTATGCAAATGTGAGAACCTGGAACTATGTAACACTACCACCACATGAACATACACACACATGCGTGTCTACTATGAAGTGGCACAGATTTTCCTACTAGAAACCCTAGTGAATCCCACTAAAGGTGAGAGCTCAGAAGGGCTTTTTTTCTTGCTATAAACTTTTTAAAGTGTCCAAAGCTAGTAGTGCATAGGACCTACTTTATATGTTCCACAGCCTTATTCTTATTTCTTTCCTTTAAATTATAGATACATAGTAGTTTGGGGGGGCATCATGGGGGGTGAGTTCAAGGGTAAACCAAACTGGCTAAAGATACTCATATATTTCAGCTTATGTATACATATTGTAGAATATATATAATATATATTCCACTGCCAGAACTGACCTTTGGAAGAAACATTTCAACCTTTCAGAATTGTGTGTTTGTGTGTAGGGAGGGACCACACCAAAGTTGGGGGTCAGCAGGACTTGGGAGGGCCAAACCCCTTCTTTTCCTGGATGGGATCATCCTATGCCCATCACACACACCCCACCATCTGCACCCCGGTTTCTCCATAAAGTATGATCCATTCCTCCTTCTCCTTTTGTAAGGCTGCCCCCGCTCCCCTGCTGCGCGTCTCTCAGAGACGCCCCTCATTGATTTTAATTCTTATAGCCCTCCCTTTCTTTCACCCTGGAACTGGTCGCCCATCCAGGCAGCAGGCAGGGCCCGGCGCGCTTCCTTGCACAGGGATCCGTGTGCACCCTCCATCCCGGCCTGGGCTTGTTCCTTCCTCTTAGCACGACCCACGCCCTTCTTTCCGCACCCCGATTTCGGGGTCCGCCACGACCATTTTCCCCTCCAGGCGTATAAACCGAGCCTGCTTGTTCCAACTCTCCAACCCAAGCCCCCCTCTCCACCCCCACCCGTACTGCACTCCCGGGCGCTCCATTTTGCGCCGCAGCCCCTCTTCCACTTCTCCCCTCCCCCGCCGCGCTCCCCAAATCCTCGCCTCGGCACGCAACCCGCGCCCCCACCCGCTTCCCCAAATGCCACCTTTGCAAATGCAGCGGCGCGCGCGCGCGCGCGCTCAGCCGGCTTGCCCCTCCTCGGAGTCAGCCCTGAGAGCATCTCCTAGGCACCCCCTCATCCGGCCCCGGACCCCAACCCGATTTCGGCGCGTGCGGGGCAGGAGGGAGGGGGCCGCAGCGCTCTCCCTCCCGTCCAGCTGCGCTGGGCCGCTTCCCCGCAAGGCACCGCGTCGCTGCGCCCTTGGACCTCTCCTGCCCGGCGCCGCTTCCTCGGGCGCCGCTCCCCGCGGTAGCCCTCCCTCCCTCCGCCGCCCACCGCCGCCCTGGCTCGAGCCCCCTCCCCTCGGCCGCCCCGCACCCCTCTGCACGCAGCCCGTACCGAGTGCCGGCTTTGAGGAAACATCATGTCAGGGCCCACAACGAGCGGGCTGCCGCGCCCTGGCTCTGGATCGGCTCCGGGTCGCGCTGCAGCCGCAGCGCCGGGGGGATGCGGCCGCCGGGGCGCGCACGCGGCGAGCTGCCTTTGTGGGCACCGCGCTCTCCTCTCCCTCCGCCGAGCCCTGCAGCTGCGGCGGCGGCACCAGGCCGCTTGCGGGGAGAGCGCACGGGCGAGGGCGCACGGGCGGGCGGCGGCGCTTGGCGCGGGACGGGCCGCCGCTCGGCGCTGGCCGGCCGGCCGCCGGTGCCGGTGCCGTA